TACGTAATGTTTTTACCGAGAATATATATCCTTATAAAGTTATGATATATTATTTTTGCAGGCTGTTTTCCGAACAAGTTGTATTGGACGAATAAGTCCCATGTAACACGGTAATACATTCACATCTGCATTGCGACTAAAATTTATAAACAATTCAATACGAAATTCCCAGGTTAGTATAAATGAAAAACATCTATCTGACTGATGTCTCGGTAACATACATAGTTAACGGAGGTCGTATGGTACATATCGATATATGCATATACATTACCGTAAGTATTCGCTCTTGCTGGGCTTATCCACGCTGTAACAATATTTTTATCAAATTAAGTTTGAATACTTTCGTGAATATATTATTCATGTCGGAGTTTTTAATAAAGAAGTCAATAATGATAATTGGCATTAATTGTTAAACGACTGAAGTATTTTGTAATGCTGTGGTACTTCAACGATACATCATTCTATTAGTTATGGACAATTCAATGCAATTCTTCATTATTCTTATTAGTGGAAGATTTTTAACGACGTACAGTCTTAATACGTGCATTGATTTATTAATAATTTCAAATCATTCTAACAATAATATTGCTTGCGATTTGTAAGGCAGTTTATTATAGAAATAGAATCCATTAATTATGAAATAACATTTGGCAATACAATATTATTTATTCGAAGTTATTCATTATTTTTCCTTAAAAATTCGTTCAATTTTCGTTTAGAATGATAATGAAATTAATCATGAATTAAAAATTTTAAGGAAAAGATTTCGCTATTTAGCTTAAATAAGAATTTTGTGTTAATTAGTAAATTAATTCATTGGAACAATTTAAGAAGAAATTAATGTTTAAAAGTAGTATTCCCATTCATTAATCCCTTTATATATTATTGAATTTATTTATTCGATATTTTTCGATCTATCACTACTATTAAAATCTATAGAATTTTATGAAATAAATAGATAGATGATTTCCTAAAGGGTTTTATTTTAGGTAGTGTTAATAATTATTAAAAAAAAATCTTTTTATTTATGTAAAATAAATATTTTAAAGGGTTTTATTTTAGGTAGTGTTAATAATTATTAAAAAAAATCTTTTTATTTATGTAAAATAAATATTTTATCGAATATTTATGATAAATACTGTTGATTGTTCATTGAGTCGATCTGGTAAATCATATATAATTTAAATTCCGGTCTTCGTAAAAAAATGACATAAAACAAGTAATGTTGAATAGAATAGAATATTCAGCTCTTAAAAGATAATAATCTATTTTATGTATTATTGATGTAAGATGTTGAAGAGACGAAGACGAAGCGAATAAGTCTCTCTCTCTCTCTCTCTCTCTCTCTATATATATATATATATATATATAATTACCTATAATTACATTCATGTAATCATATAAATATATAATTACCTATCATTTTTATTCCTATTAGATGTATAATATATCAGGCTTATATTCTTACGAATTTATGCTTTTGAATAGTTAGTTGCAAAGTATGAATATTTAGAAAATAATTTTAAAAAATGTTAACTTAAACGGATCTGTATGTGTGAAATTGTTAAGAAAAAACACGAGAAAGAAATTAAATATAATATTTAAATTATTCTTATTACGAGGACAATATTATAAACTTCGACGTTTTTGAATGAAATATAACTTTCAAATTTTAATATCGTTAAGCGATATAAATAATATTTTTCTAAATATTCTAATGAAATCGTAAAGCCGACGCATGAGATGAGACATATTTAATATTTTGTTTATGAAGTTGTAACATTCAAAATGAATTATAGACTAGGATTTTACAGCAGAGAGTGAAAAAAAAAATGGAATAAAAGCCAAAGGCAGTGTTACGCGCGAGTGGACATGAAGTACGCTCGAGGAGTTTTGATTTTCAAGTTTATGTAATAACGAAGTAATTAAAAAAAAACGCCTCACCCAAGGTAATTAATTACTCTGTTGTCACTTTATCAGGCTTTTATGCCTTTCGATTCGCGCCTCGAATTGTCATGCGCAACACTCATCCCCCACCTCGACCTCCTCGACCCCCTCCCCGAGTAAGCTACCCCCAAAGTGCCACGAGTCAACCTTTATGGTTATAATAGGCAAATAGGCCCTCTCTTATAAACAGTCTCCTTCTCCTTCACGTCCTCCTCTTCCTCCTCTTCCTCCACCTCCTCCTCCTTCTCCTCCTCCTTCTCCTCCTCCTCCTTCTGCAGCGCCTCATCAGCTCCGCGAGTCCGCGGCAACCGCCCCAAATAAACGGGCGCCGCCATTCTAGTCGCTTCTATTCGTTTTATCAGCCCGGGTGTCCTGACGCACGATTGGCTTGGCTCGCGGACAGCGACCCCTCCACCGGAGAGAGAGAGAGAGAGAGAGAGAGAGAGAGAGAGAGAGAGTAGCGAACGGCCTGCTAAAAGAGAGGCACAGGCGCTATTTAGAGCTGAAAGGAGGTTAAGGACCGCGCGATCGGTAGCCGATCGGCGTTCACCAGAGGCGGCCCTTCGGAGCAGGAGTGCGCGAAGTAGCCTGCGGGTACGCATTGGCTGGGACAGTTACACATACCTCGGAAGGTGCACGCAGCCGGACGCAGGCTGAACGGCGTCAGCAGGATCAGCGTCGACATGATTCACCGAGGTGCATCCAGTAGTGGCGGCTGCGTTCGCGGCCGCGGCCACGGCGCCCAGGTAGATCTGGCATCGCTGTACGATTATCCACGGCGAGCCTCGCTACATTCTCTCCTCGACGTGCGCTCTCACTCTCTCTCTCTCTCTCTCCCTCCCTCTTCCTCCCTCTTCCTCTCACACACTCTCGCCGTCCCCCTGTCTCACTATATATATATATATATATATATATATATATATATCTCGCTCTTCCACTGTCTCTCTTCCTTTTATCAATCTCCTAGTCAGTTCTCGTCCCTTGCCGCCGTCCACCCTCTAACGACCGAGACGCGCCGCTCGCGTCCACCTATCCGGCCCGTATCATCGTGCGCGACGCCGACACCACGAGGACTACGACAGGGACGAGCGCCGCGCTTCAACGCTCGAAGCCCAACCTAACCTTAAACTCTCGCTCCCACGTTCGCAGCTCGCGCTCGAGCACTGCCGCCGGCGATCCGGTGCACGTCGCACGACGGCTACCGACACCACCACCACCACCACCACCACCACGACCGCTACCACCACCACCACCATCACCACCTCCACCTCCACCTCTAGCACCGCCGCCGCCGCCGCTCGTTCGCTCACTCACTCCCTCACCCTCCCGCTCAGCAAGTCGTGCGTGCGCGCGCGCTCCGATACGTGGGCGGTGCAAACTATGGAGAGAGAGTGAGAAAGGACGACGGGCGCAAAGGCCGCGCGAGCCCACAGAGGCTCTTGTCGGCGAGAGACAACGTGTGGCTGAGAGACACTGGCGGTGTAGTCCCGTCGAAGAGTATCCGCGATCTTAGCCCGACGAACTCCCGCAGTACCGCTGCTGCCGCGCTGCCGTTCGGTAATTCCCGAATGGCCTATGTATCCGCGTGCACGCACCCGTTCACACGTACAAGGCGATTCACGCACACGTGCATTTGCGCGTATATATGCCGGGAGAACGGCAGCGAACAGGTCGCGATCAACGCGCGGCGAATGAGGACGACTCCCCCTTACGCCGCCCGACCCCGCTCGATCGCCTGTCCTTTATATATATATATACTTCTCTCTCTCTCTCTCTCTCTCTCTCTCTCTCTCTCTCTCTATATATATATATATATATATATAATTACCTATAATTACATTCATGTAATCATATAAATATATAATTACCTATCATTTTTATTCCTATTAGATGTATAATATATCAGGCTTATATTCTTACGAATTTATGCTTTTGAATAGTTAGTTGCAAAGTATGAATATTTAGAAAATAATTTTAAAAAATGTTAACTTAAACGGATCTGTATGTGTGAAATTGTTAAGAAAAAACACGAGAAAGAAATTAAATATAATATTTAAATTATTCTTATTACGAGGACAATATTATAAACTTCGACGTTTTTGAATGAAATATAACTTTCAAATTTTAATATCGTTAAGCGATATAAATAATATTTTTCTAAATATTCTAATGAAATCGTAAAGCCGACGCATGAGATGAGACATATTTAATATTTTGTTTATGAAGTTGTAACATTCAAAATGAATTATAGACTAGGATTTTACAGCAGAGAGTGAAAAAAAAAATGGAATAAAAGCCAAAGGCAGTGTTACGCGCGAGTGGACATGAAGTACGCTCGAGGAGTTTTGATTTTCAAGTTTATGTAATAACGAAGTAATTAAAAAAAAACGCCTCACCCAAGGTAATTAATTACTCTGTTGTCACTTTATCAGGCTTTTATGCCTTTCGATTCGCGCCTCGAATTGTCATGCGCAACACTCATCCCCCACCTCGACCTCCTCGACCCCCTCCCCGAGTAAGCTACCCCCAAAGTGCCACGAGTCAACCTTTATGGTTATAATAGGCAAATAGGCCCTCTCTTATAAACAGTCTCCTTCTCCTTCACGTCCTCCTCTTCCTCCTCTTCCTCCACCTCCTCCTCCTTCTCCTCCTCCTTCTCCTCCTCCTCCTTCTGCAGCGCCTCATCAGCTCCGCGAGTCCGCGGCAACCGCCCCAAATAAACGGGCGCCGCCATTCTAGTCGCTTCTATTCGTTTTATCAGCCCGGGTGTCCTGACGCACGATTGGCTTGGCTCGCGGACAGCGACCCCTCCACCGACGCAGGCGCGCGGCTTACTTAAAACCCGGCGACGAGGCACCGAGGAGTGCAAAGTCCGTGCGCCACGTGCCTGATCATGGAGTCAGCGGGGACACGAGCGAGCCCACGTGCGAGGATGCCGCGTATTGTCGGCCTGGCCTGGATGGCAATAACGCTCGTCGCCGGGGCTTGGGGCTACGCCACGCACGAGTGGCTGGGCTCGCGGACAGCGACCCCTCCACCGACGCAGGCGCGCGGCTTACTTAAAACCCGGCGACGAGGCACCGAGGAGTGCAAAGTCCGTGCGCCACGTGCCTGATCATGGAGTCAGCGGGGACACGAGCGAGCCCACGTGCGAGGATGCCGCGTATTGTCGGCCTGGCCTGGATGGCAATAACGCTCGTCGCCGGGGCTTGGGGCTACGCCATCGGCGGCTCCAGTGACGGTTACTGGGAGCGGAGGGCGAGCATCCTGCTCGAGGAGGAGAGCGCGATGATCGGCGGCGATCTCGTGTTCGAGGAGAAGGAGAGGCTGGTCAACCAGATGCTCATGAAGGCCAAGCACAAGGAGATCGATGACGGTTCGTCAGCATTGATTTTTCGATTACGCTCCTCGACAGCGCATCACGGGAGCCAGCCAAATCTCGAAGCCGGCCAAAGGTTCGGCGGTGCGCGCGCGCGAATCCCCAGGACAGTCCCAACAATTGGGCCCTTAAAATTCATAAAAGTTTGACGGGCCGCGGAGCTTCGCCTCTATGATTCTCGAGGAAATTAACAAACACTACCGGCATTTCGCCATTTTTCATCTAAATACCCAATTGCCGATGTTATTATTCGACCACTGGTTCGCGCAAATTCGTGTTTTGATTCAACGTGCGCGACATAATAATCTTCCTACAAGACGATGCGAGATGTGACGACGCTTTGACCGCTTAATGACCGCAGCAAGCGTGACGTCACGTGCACGCGAATGTACATTATTAAATGAACATTTTGTTATATTGCCCGACTATGTTTCCCCAGTTTCCTCTACGTCCTGTCAAAAGCTTCCCAATTATTTTATTGCTTTATTGGTAAAATAGTTGCCTCCGTTATTTCAACATTGCCAGCAAACAATCAATTAATTCAATCAACTAGTTCAATCGATTAATAATTTAAAACTACGCACATTACTAGTAATTAATTAAATACTTTCGAATAGCAAAGAATTTCTTTCCAATATTTTTTTTTCCTGCCATTTGTCTTGTTTTGTTTTGTCTAGCTTTGTTTATGTTTAACGTAGTAGAAATATTTGAAAGTTAATTTTAAAACATAAACAATATTGTGCTCGGAAGAAGACTCTCTTAGACGTATTTTTAATCATAGTTTGATTTTAATGTTGCATTGCCATTATTTCGGAGTCATCGATCAATGTTCTCATACAATTTAAGCATACTTATCTCCTAATTCTCAAATTATTTAATTAGCCTTGATTGCAAAATACATGGGAAAATTTGATTGATACTTAAACAGTGATTACAGAAAGTTATCAAATACAATTTATCCATATAATAGAAGATGAATCTTGGTTATTATGAAATTAAAGTATTCCTACATTGATATTCAATATTATAATGCATAAAGTTGTATCGATAGGATTGAAAGTGCCGATATTATTTATTACATATTGCGTCCGTACTAGTTGGAAAGACAATTTGAAAATTGTTTGAATATTTCAATCAGACACTAGTCTCTATAAACGAATTGAAATATAATTTTCACTTAATTATAAAGTTTTGGCAGACAATCACGAATGTTATTTAAAGCAAGATTGTATTTTAACGATTGGTGAATTATAATTGTTATTATACGCGGGACAAAAATATAATAATTAAAAATGTATTGAGGGTAATTATATAGTTCATTTGAATGTTAAACTGACAATTAAAGTCTATACGCGTAATGCAATGTTAAGGTGTAAAGTAGCACGAAGACACAACAGATATAAATAAGAGAACATAGAATGTAACATTTACATTATGGATCAATTGTAACAGCAGCGATTTCACTTATTGTACAAGAAGTTTGGCAAACCGCCGCGCACTCGGATTCCCACGTAATCTAAAAAAACTTTATGAGAAGAGTGACAGTTGTAATTTACCGGCGTTATATTACACTAGTAGAAAGTAAATTAAACAAGTTTCGTAAAAATAGAGTATTATTATTTGCAACGTAAATCGAACAATATTCTTCAATTAGCAAATTTTAAATTAAATGGAACAAGGGTATTTTTATCTGTGTATGTAATTATCAGAACGCGAGAATGCTTACGAAATTTCTATTTTAGTAATGATTAGTTACATAAAAGTTTTAAATTTCTATTTGTTAGAGAAAGTAACATAAAAAGTAAATAAAAAAAAATTGTAAAAGCTAACATCGATGATTGTAGAGAACATGTAGAGACAAAAATTATAGTACAACGCAATTATGCAAGATGTTATCCCATAATAACTGTATGCATAAAATTTTCCGCCATATTCATACTATCAACAAGTAATTATCAGAACATATTAATGTGTATTAACCACAATGCACGAACGCAATGCACATTGCTTCATAAATATAATTGTATGTTATTAGTATTAGATATAGATAAAGAAATTATATAATTAGAATTCTAAATCTTCACAACGCCTTGTGATTATATTGAAGTGATTGACCAATTTTTCGTTAACCAATTATCAATATTATTAAATATGATTTTCTTTTTAAATATCAAAATTATAATCCATTAAATACATAACTACAAAATATCGAATACCCCTTTAAATACATCATTGATAATATGTTTGGCCTGAAAAACTTAGCACTTTTAAATATATTTGAGTACTAATTTGTGCGTAATAATTCGAGTACTAAATGATTGCGTAAAAATTTGCAGAAAAAAAGGAGAAGAAAAAAAACCCGCACATTTCAATTTTCCTTTAAATCTATTCTGCCTTGAACAAAGCTTTATTATTTTTTCTTCGTAATAATATTTTAACCTTCTTAATTAAATAATTCTTAATAATAATATTGCAATTAATTTTCAAAACATTTTATTGATTTTTTCTTTAACGCGCTATTAAAATAGATTGAAATGAAGATAAACAACATTTTCTTTGGTCTTCACATATGTATTTACATTTATATGCTTATGTTTTATCGTTATTCTAATCTTATAACTTTGTGGAAAAAATAAAAAAAATGCCAGCCAATTGTTTTACCAATTCCCATAATATGTTATACTTAGTGTGTACTTAGCAAATATCCACGTCTGCGCAACGTATTACGTACATTCATGCAGAATTGATTAAATTACATTTGCAATTGATTCGTCAATTTTGTTCCAACACATTTTTTATCACATTCTAGCTGCCATATTTAATAAAAAAAAAAAATTTCTATCGTAAATATAATAAACAATTTGCAATATGTTATCTTCGCCTCTAAATGTATTAACATATCGATAAACTCCCACATGCTCGATCATCTTCTTCTCTTAAAGTTACGCATTACTAATCATTTCGAATGACTATATTTTTGCCGATATCCATGCAAATGCTAAGCCCCGTCGCTAAATTCTATTTTCCATGTTTTTACAAATAATAAAATTAAGTTTTTAACTTATTTATACAAATTTACGCGTAATTATAAATATCGTAAGTAGCTGGTAATATCTATTGCGTATAATCCTAAGATCCTAATTTTATACGGATCCACGAACATCTATATTGAGCCCAAGCCCATGAATCATCCGGATTCTATTTTTTGATTCTTTTGTAAATGTCGCAGATGTTGCTTTCCATAAGTCACTCATATTTTATAACTTTTACTGAAATCTTTAATGTCATCCTCATTTTGTGTTAGTCATTTACTGCATTCGAGTCTGTACAATTAAAGCATCTGTGTGACGCGTGATTGTTGTTTTCACTATACCGATATTTATAGCTAGCTATACCGATCGTGTTTGCGTCCTTTATCTTTAGCTTAACAATAGCCAATACAGAAGTTAATCAGTACTTGTGGTTATTAGTTTTTTACGATAGGAATACGACATCCTGTAGACTTTACTAATTTGACAAAATTAATCCCACATTCGACTGTATGTTTTATGAAGCTTTAATTGTTATCTTTCGTATTGAAAATTTTTGAAAATAAGCTTTAAGTTGTAATTAGTATTATACAATGGATTTTATTACTAAGAAATTTGCATTCTTTAATAATATTTTTAAGCTGACAAGTTTAACACTTAAAATATTAAACATTCCAGTTTTCCCCCTTTATTTCATGAAGCCTAAGTTTTCATTCAATGCAATGTCAATAATTAAAAGATGATAATGAATAGCGTTTGAAATGAAAACAAACATCCATTTCTATTCATTAACTTTAATATAAAGGATGAAACAAAACAAAAAAAAAACCAAGCAATTTTATATTATAATTGACCGTTATTTGTAAAATAAAGTTCGTGTTATGCCATTCATTTTACACTTTTTTAATTTTTTTATTTACATGTTGAAATTGTAATATTAAACACGCACACTATTTGTTTTCTTCATACGAATAAATCTAGAGAAATTAGTTTTATATGCGGGAAAAATATGCAGTCATATCACAATAGAGAAAGTTTTACATCTTCCATATAGAAACTAATATCCTGAAATTCAAGCAGAAAATGGAAATTTATATTCTTATTTATAATTTGCCCATTTCATTGTAGATACCCGAAGATGAGTAAAAATAATAATAATAATAATAATAATAATAATAATAATAATAATAATAATAATAAACAACCTAATACTTACTCTGACTAACGATAGTTGGCGATTATCGAAAATATAATAAATGTAATAAATTTACATTAAAAATTCTGCTTAAATTTCTCTCCCGCCATTAAAATTATTATAGTTGAGCATAATGTAACATAATGAAACGTTCGAGCGCAGCTTTTATCCATAAGGCAACCTTCCTGCCATCGCAGAGCTTCCTCCTAGTATCAGACAAGATTCGCGAGTCCCCTGTCTTCAAAATAATCGAGCAGATGCCAAAAGGAGCTGTGCTACATACCCATGACACGGCAATCGGCTCCTCGGATTATCTTTTCTCCAACGTAACTTTCCGGCCAAATCTCTACATGTGCGACCTCAATGGCCAACTCTGGTTCCAATTCTTCGACAAACCCGATAGAAAGGATTGCAACTGGCAGCTCCTGAGCGAGCTCAGGAAGAAAGACACGAATAATCTGATCGATCAAAGAATATCGAGGCAGCTAACGATGGTTACAGAGCAACCGGAGAAAACCTATCCTGACTCGACAATCGCCTGGACCAAATTCATTGATATTTTTCGACTCATTACGCCGATGTTGACGTATAGGTAACAATGTCCTTTCGGCGCTTTAGGCCATTTCTATTATAAAAAAAAATAAATTGCCATCTTAATTGTTAAGCCAATGTTCAATCAATTATTCCAGACCAGTCTATGAAGATTATTTCTATCACGGGCTTTTAGATCTTTACAACGACAATGTTTTCTATATAGAATTACGTTCGACTTTACCGACGCTGTACGAACTGGATGGAACAAAGTACGGTCCGATCGAAGTGGCTCTTATTTACAAAAAAGTTACCGAAAGGTATTAATATTTATTGGGTATTAATTATTTAGGTATTAATAATTATTATTTATTGTTGTTTGATAAATATTATAGATATGATTAATTACAAGTAAGATGCTTCTTCACACCCTAGTTTCATATATTTTTTAATAAACTATTGTCATTTGGAAAATTGCTATTTAATATTCTTACTGAATGTTAATGTAAAATTTGTAAATTGTCAGTCAGGAGTTAATTTTAATAATGATGATGTCGATGCCTGTAATTTAGTAATAAAAAAAATAGTAAAGAGACGATTCAAGTAAGAGTCAAATATTAAAAATTCTCTTAAGAATAAAATTGTATTAATTGTAAACGATAAATTTTTTCCTTAATTATCAAACAAATAATTATTAAGTAAATATTTAAACATCTTAAAATAGAGTATTTTATTCAATAGATCGTTAAAGCAAATAAAAACGAAGATTTGTAATATATCAACGTAGATAAGTACAAAGCTATTTTTCTTTTGATAACGAAAAAATCAAGTAAAACAGTTTACTGCTCAAATAATTATCATAATTAAATTAAATAATCGAATTCAATACTTCAATAAATAAAACGTCCACTTTGTTCAATGTATCTTTATTAAATCTGTGACTGTGTTACATTACGAAAGTATTTAATTCAATTTTTAGTGCTAAAGCAGAAAGTGATTAGTAAACTTTCATATAAATATATTATAATAGCTTTCGCTTGGCAATTTATTCTAATTAATTTATAATCATCACTGCTTTTGTATAATTTTTTCTTAACCTCCATTCAGACTTTATCTTTCAAGTATTTAACACGTATTCCGTAAAATTGAATATTTTGTAAAAGCTCGTTATACATTATATCTGCACTATGATTATTAATTTGAATCGCATAATCCATATTATTTAAGCTAATTGAAGCATTTTTTTATTGAAAATATCGACGAGTAAATTAATTGTATTTGCATAAGTACGTTACCATTAATTTCCAGTCTTTGGCTAATCTCGTTATATACAACAAATAGTAAATGTTTCTCTCAAATACGGTTGACATTAAAAGCATAGGATATAAAAACAAAATGATTGAAATGTAAATCAGCCGAAGCTATATTTTGTTCAAAGTCCCGTTCACATTATAAGCTTATCATCTTTCTAGGTTCATGCAGGATTATCCCCACTTTCTTGGCATGAAGTTAATTTATGCCCCAATTCGAAGCATGGAGACGGCACAATTTAACGAAAGTTTGAAGGTGGCACTCGAGCTTAAAAGAACAATGCCCAACTTCTTCGCGGGTTTCGATTTGGTGGGTTTTGAGGAACAGGGGCCACCCCTAATAAATTTTGCAGATCAGATACGAACTCTCGACGATGGGATATTCAGGTTTTTTCACGCAGGCGAGACGGATTGGTATGGTACAAACACCGATGAAAACCTTGTCGACGCTCTCATGCTGAACACGAAGAGGATCGGCCATGGGTAATTACAGATTTTTAATTATCTTCCGATTCACAAGCACGAATATTTAATGCGAGGATACATTCCAAATATAATTAAATTCAACGTTTTTCCAATTGCCATCCTAAGGTCTAAATGTTCTGCTAAATATTTTTAATCTCTACGTATAGCGACGGATGGTAAAACCAAAAATGAAACGTAATACTGTAAACGCATGAATTGAAGTAGTCGATTATCAAATGAGATTTTAATATTGGCTCTTTAGACTAACATAAATAGTTACATAACATCTTTAATATTTAATTAATTTATTGTATTTAAATGCAGTTGCGAACGGTAAATTTTATAAATTAATCTTCTCATATTATTATAGTTTTTATTATTATTTAATATTACATATAATTAGGGATATTAAGGGTAAAAAGTTCCATTTTATATTGCACCTCAAGATTGATAAATTACGTTTCTTAGGGTTGTTTGTGATTAGACATTTTACTAAAATAAATATAGTAATCAGTTTGTTGTCGGTAATTAATGTATGTGTCTCTGTCTGTCTGTTTGCCTTCCTATGGGTGCGCGCGTTCGTGACGCGAGTGTGTATGTGCGTGCGTGCGTGCATGCGTGCGTGCGTGTGTGTTTGTCTATAGAAAGCATATTATGCGATACTAAAATATTCAGTATATAAAGAGTACGCAATTGAAGTTATAAATTTTATCTGAAAACTGTCAAGGAGAGAAAATGTTAAATAAACCGATGGATTTGAAACTTCTGCGTCCGAGATCTGACAAATTTGAAAATTAAGCACTGAGTAGGCTAGCAAAAGTACTACGAGAAGGTGCTTTTGGAAAATTGTGAAACTTGATCGGCATTTGTAAGGATACTAAGTATATTAAGCTGAAGTTGGGTGGCAAATATGTTAAAAATTACCGACTATTTTCGGCGAATCGTGGCAGATTGTTTAAAATTAATTATCCATAAAATATTGTTCACCAGGTATGCCATATTGAAGCACCCGGAGCTGCTGAAATATGCACGAAATAAGAAAGTCGCCATCGAGATATCGCCCATCTCCAATCAAGTGCTTGTTCTCGTTAAGGATTTGCGCAATCATCCGGCTTCTGTGCTTTTCGCGGAGAACTATCCCGTGATCATATCTAATGACGACCCGGGCTTATGGGGCTCTCGAGGTTTAAGTTACGACTTCTACGAGGCCTTTGTCGGCATGATGTCACGTAACGCCGACCTGAGGGCGCTGAAGCAGCTCGCCATGAACTCGATCCTTTACTCGGCAATGAGCGATAAGGAGAAAAACCGCGCCATGGAGATATGGAAAAATCGCTGGGACGAATTTATTGAAAAGATGAATGACGATGTGTTGTGCAAATATTCGCGATTGTAGGATAATTGTTTGAAATTCGACGTTGGAATTTTCTTGAGAGTAATTTATACGAACGTTTTAACGCTCGCAAACTGACTTGCGATTTAGAAATATTATAAATCAGTGATTTAGTGAAGGACCAACGATTTTTGTATTCAATATATATTTCAGCTTTCAGGGAAATTTTATTGGACATAGTCGGATTCGTGAAAATAAAAAGAAAGTAATGAGAAACATGTATTAAGTATTATTTTCAGTTAGAAATACATATGGAATAGTTGGAGAAATTCGAATAATATTTAGACCATAAGCAGATTATTTTTAATTAATAAATGCCATAAAATTTTCCATGAGCATTAATATTATATTTTTTCTAACTGCTGATAAATGAAAGAATCTATATATATATATATATATATATATATATATATATGTGTGTGTGTGTATGGAAAACGTTTTCTCTATTTCTGACTGATGAATTTTTATGAACACATCATGTATGTAAATAAACTTTCTATTAACAATTAATCTTAATATTTAATAATTTTAACTCGAAATATATATTAAACGATCGACATTTTCGATCGACGTAAAGATGGTCTTTATTTTGTACGAATATTATTATCTTAAACCGGCAATTCATAAATTTTGCCTTAATTTCCGAATGTATGCATTAAAAATTTTCATACGATCGCTTTAAGTAATAAGAATTTAATTTCTTTTACAAGAGAATTTTAACATAAGTATTATTATTTATTATTAAAATACAATTTCTTCTTCTTGTTAATTTTTTAATCAATTTGAATATTTATTTGTTATGTTGATTGAGCATTGGATAGACGATTATATTATCGTTTTATTGCAAATGCGTATGTAACATATTTTTATTGTATGTACTTATAAATATTGCGGATATATTACATTTAGGTTAATCAAGCCTTTCTTCCAATCGCAATTAAATTTTTCGTTAATGCATAATTAAAAAAGATTTTATTATTTTTTTATTAAAAAACTGCATTAAATTTGTATTGTATATATATATATATATATATATATATATATATATATATATATATGTATGTATATATATGCACGTCTCTGTGTGTTGTACACGTGCATCTGTTGCGTGTGTTTGTGTATATATATATATATATATATATATATATATATATATATATATATATATTAATGGACAAGTTTTATATGAATAATTTTTATTTAATTAAAAAAAAAAATTAAATGTTTAAAATTATGTATTAATAATAAATATAATTGAAGTTATAAGGAGTATTAAACTAAAATTAATTATATTTTAATGTAATACATGAGATAAAACTTTTTGTCAATACATATACAGACGCTAACAGGCATGCACGCCCACCTGCAAACACAAAACACGAATAATAACTATAATAGGATTTGAATTTTTATCACTTGCGCGCAGTTATTTAATTCATCGATTTTACTTTAATATATTTCTGAAAATCAATTATAATTCCAATAATAATTTTTATCTTTCTTTTAATTTACATATTTTATTAGAATAGATTTACGTAGATAATGTTAAAAAAATTCACAATTTCTCATTTTCTTCTATCTTACTAATAATTATTTAGAATTAGTTTTATGTTCATTTAATTTCCTTTACTTCTCAATCATATATTTAACTTCAAAATATATAATTTCTATAATTCGAAATTATATTCCTATAATGTCATATTAATTTAAATATGAAATAGGTTATAATGAAAGTATAGGATGTTTTTGAGAGTGGATTTGAAGCAGGATATGAAAGAATAACACAAGTAATTATTGTTATGACACAGAAAAATTTTATTCCACTTTTTGTTACCAGCCGAAGTCCAAAGGTCTGTCGAAATGTGTGATCACAGATGAGGGTGAGGAGTCGTGCGGTTGTCCTCGTTAGGTGCTAATTTTGTATCAAAGCTGTTGAGATCTCAGCAAGTATTCCATCATTCCTAATTTCAATTCTCTAAGATTCAAGATTTAAACATCAAAAAGATGGTCAATTCGTTAATATGATTGGTTAATATGACGGTTTTTGGCGCATAAATTTCATCATACCATACACGAACTAATTCTTTTTTTTTTTTCATAAATTTTATTCCTAGTTGACGCGATATCGTTAATTTACAGCAAACGCGAATGAACACCATTCGACATAATTTGATAGCGATCGTTGCATTGAAAAGATAAAAAAATTTTGATGTGACTTTTCATCATCACCGTTCTAAAATACCAGAATTTAAATTGGATAAATAAATAATTCATAATAATTAAGATTTAAGATAATTAAAGCTTTTATATATAATTCATACACTAATGGCTTTCTTGTGTTGTTTTCCATTAGAAATGCCTCCTTCTTGAAATGGTAAAAAAATAATCGAAATTATATTTAATGCCACTCAAATCGTAAATTGCTAGTTCCCGAATCCGCGACATACGAAGTCAATGCGAAATGTATCATGCGTGACCACCGCGACGAAGTTAATAATTAACTCAACGAATTTACCTCGGAACATTACCCGAGGGGTCAACGCCCCGTCTTTTTCTCCTTTCCGGTGTGACGCTGCTTCCGTCACTTAATACTAGCTTCGATGCAAGAGCTGTTGATTTTCCGGGCGGACTGGTGGTTCCTGACGGCACGTTCGTCAATAATTGTTTGCCCTGGCGATTCTCTTTTGATTTCCGCCGGACACTTAGGTCAGACGATACGACGATTTCATCGAAAGCCTGACCGACGAATTCTGTAAGGGCAAAGCCTCGATCATAAATCCTTTTTCTTCTATTCTAATCCATCTTTGAAATTAAATTCTCATAAAAGAGTCATAGATGTTGTATTTATTGTCAAATTTTCATCAGTGGTCGTCGTCGTCGTCGTCGTCGTCGTCTTCGTACGCGTGTGACTCGACTATTCATGGCAATCCGTAAATTATCCTAATCTTTACTTAACGTCTGCTACACAAGATTAAGAAAATGCGTGATTCATGTGACTATGTGTTTTTCAAATTAATCTCTATATTATAAAAACAGAGATAGTTCTTGAAGAATGTAATATAATAAATTATTTTAATCTTTCTAGATATTTTTAACGTTATCGCGTCTACTGTTGTAAAATCTGCTTTAATATTTTTTCATTTACACGAGTTACCTAAGCATAAACGAACGATAATTAATGTTCGTATAAATGAGAGTATCATTTTATTTTATTCGAGTTACTTGCTAATGCAGATCGATTAGCAGTTCCGGAATTTCCATTTACGCAGGATCTTACTTATATAAATATAATAACATTTAATTACCGTTAAAATTATTCGTAAGTTAAAAAGCCAACAAATAATTAACTAATATTGTTGTTGTTGTTGTTGTTGTTGTTGTTGTTGTTGTTGTTGTTGTTGTTGTTGTTGTTATTATTATTATTATTATTGTTATTATTATTATTATTATTATTACTATTATTATGAGAATTATGATAATTATAAATGTGGTTTTAAATATTAACGAGCGCGCGCGCGCGTGTGTGTATGGATTACATGTTTTAAAATAATATATGAAAGTAAATGAAAATGTTGAAATTTCGTTTATAATAGAACTATACATGCGTATTAAAGTATAAAATAAGATAACTTACGATTACGATTTGTGGCTTGATTTTGAGCATTGACAGTTACAGCAGCCAAAACGAGAATGATGAAAGCCAAAAGTTTAGTCATTTTTGCGACCGAATCGGAATTTAGCATTTATGCTTTTCTTTACCAAACAACAATTTCTGAAAGCAAAAAGGTTGAAAAACAATGATAATGGCGGTGCGGCTTGGTGCAATTATCCACACAGACAAAAGAAATGCACTCGATTAATCCATAAGGATCTCTGCCAAGACGTAAAATGCCACGGTCTCCAGACGTCTCGGATTGCCCAGTCTATTGCTCAATTAAAGTGCCTTTTATATCTCCCGATAGAAAGTCTCCTGCGGCGTCGGTCATGTCGCCTTTCAATCGCAATGTGTAATGCGCGTGCGCCACGCCAAGTCGCTACGTTTTACTTTATAGGGACAAAGGACATTGTTTCGCGGTCGCTCGTGAAGTTATTATACTCGATTGCAATAATCTATAAGCTTAATTTTTGTTGTTGTAATTCTAAATTCTATTGGGAATTGTATGAGAAAAAATAACTCGTAAGTTTTTCTTCTTCTTTTTTTCAGATTTTGTCGATGATCGAGTGATTATTTAATATTGACGATCGCGAGAACATTCATTAGCGCATCTAATTATATAATTCTATTTTAGTGTTAATAATCAGTAGCCGAAATAACTATTTTTTTTTTCACTTATCAAAAGCATAATACATAAACCGTATGTTCTTTTTATACGAATACGAAAATTGCCCGAAGATTACTCATCTTATAAAACGAATATTACTTTATTTTAATACTTGACTAGACACTATAATTTGTATATAGCTTTATTTATCTAAATAAGAAAAAAAAAACAGTTAAAACATTCTCTCGAATAATATTTTTCTTCAACATTTTCTCTCTTAATTTTATCGAAATTAAAATTATGCAATTTTATTGTGCGTATTAATTTAATAAATAGTGGAAACAATTTATCTCAATATATCAATAAAAAGTATCGTTAAGTTATCATACACAATCATATTAATATGTATATATTAATTTGTTAATTTACAATTAGTATCTACCGTAACTTGGTGCTTATTTTGATAAAGAATTAATTGAATCGTGGCAAGTAACTTGGCACAACTTTCTATTATTTACAAAAAAAGAATTTTTAATACAAGAATGGAATATTCTTGCAAAAAATAAAAACAACAACCAATGACTATGTTTCTTGGTCCAAACCGAAACAAACATATTCGTGCTCCAACTTTAAAATTACAAATCGATGTATGAATCTCGATGATAAGCCTCGATTGTGCGCTGAGATACATTAATCATAGATTCGTAGCGCTAGCCGAGCTAATCAACAATAATCGAATCACTCGCATGTAATGATTCGTTTCGCTTTTGCAAACGAGGCGAGGAGCAATGAGCCGCGTAATTGGCGTTAAGTGAATGAGTCGTTGTTTAAAATCGCCTGTCGGATATGCCTTATTTGCGCTTTGAAACAAAGACGCAAAGATGTCGTTAAAGAGAAGGGATCTATCGAAGCGATTATAAGCGCCAACTTGAATCACGAGAAACTTGTATATATTATAACTGGGATTACAAGTTCATTGAACATCGAGCAATGCCTGCCCTCCTGAAATGCATTTAAGCATTTTGTATTTTTGATTGTTGTGCAGTTATATTTGTGTTTTATATGCAATTTTAAAGCTAATTAGAAAGAAACGCAGATAATTTTTAATTTACTGTAACCGGGCTAGCGAATTTTTGCCGTTGTATATAATAATATACAAATGAATTATGAAATCAAATGATCAAATGGAGTCAAAGATTTATGGAATGATACTTTAGTTACTTATGGTTTCTTAATCATGATGAATGAAACTTCTACCTAAAGCCTCGTGTCCAAAAAGCGAATTACAACACAAAAATCATATATATATATATATATATATATATATATGTACGTTATATTTTGGCGCTAATTAATGGGTATTATACGCTTAGACTGAGTTTTACAACCGATGGAACCGTTCGCTACTAAGTGACAGAACTTTTAAAGTTCAAGTCCTTAAAGTCTAAGCCCATCAATTATATAGGAATATCGAAGGAGCAGAAAACGAACGAAATCTTACAAACTAAGAATAACACATACAATGGAGAATATTGATAGAAGTAAAGAGCGAATAAATAAGGCAACGAAGAAAGCGAACGAGTGACAAGGAGACTGACTAGCATGGTAGAAGAGATGAAAAAATTAAAAAAAAAAAAAAAAAAAAAAAAAAAAAAAATAAAATAAAATAAAGTAAAAATCGTGCAGAAGTTACCGATAAGGCTTGAACGGTATCACGCAGCACCGGCGGTCCCTTCACCCCTTTCATACCCACCGTAATATATGCCCACCGTTAAATATAATCGCGCTCGCTCATGTGAATACGTAAAGACGCGAGGCAAAGCGGTGGCAGCGCAAAGGGCATCGACCCGCGGCTAAAGCTTTTACTGAGGCGAGCGAGCGTGCAACCGTGGCGGCCCTGAGACTCTGAAGACTGTGAGAGCGTGATGATGCGCAGAGTGTGGAGTCAGTCGCGGAGCACTTACCGACGATATCCTGAGGATACTTTCCGAGCCGACAACCGCACGAGAAATGCGAGCTGGACGGCCGCGCAGTCTTCGAGCGAGCCAGGCTCCTCTCCTCCGTCTCCCGCCCTCCCTCGTTCGACTCGCGCCTCTCCTCGCGGGGACGAAGGGTGGGATGGCCAGCGGCTGGTGGGGTCTGTCCGAGTACCATGCCCGTAGGGCAGGGCCCATTGAACGGGGTGGGGGTGGGGGATCCCTTCGACTCGTCGTCGCCCACGGGGTTCGGACGGAGCTTGGAGCTCGTTGGTGCACTCCGGGGGCCCCCGACGTTCTCCCGGCAAAAGTAGCCTCGTTGGCAAAAAGGAAGGACGACGCCCTCGATGGACAGCCCTGGCGCGCGGCGAGCCGGGTGGACGGCTTCCCTCTTCCTCCGCTGCCCTCGCGATCCGTGAAGCGCTTTCTTTCTGCGTTGGCCGGCACCGCCACCATCGCCGCCGTCGGTTTCTCCCCTACCACCCTTCCCCATCCCCTTCCCCGTCCCCTTCCCCATCCCCTCAACGTCCCCACCCCGCCCGACCCCCTCAAAACCGCCGCGCGGACAAACGACGATCCGTAACCCGTGTCCCGCCGCGAGACTGGTTTCTCGGTACGGTAACGAGAGGTTGGTGGACGCTGGGGATGAGGAAAGCCCGGCTCGGCGGTCCCGCTCAAATTGCTTTGCATTATGCTAATAGACCGGACAAAGGGACGAGCCGTGGAAAAACAATCGCTCTTTTTTATCACGGACGTGTGAACGATTCCGACACACCTCCTCCCCGTACCCCGTGTCCGGTTCACCACCCGCGGATGCGACGAAACCAGCGAGCGCGAACCCTCGCGCCCACCCCGCCGCGGCTGTAACGAGCCTTTTTTCGCGATAAATGGTCTCTTTTCCTTCCACGGCTTTCATTTCAGCTGCGCCACGAAACGCCTCGAAACGGCTCCAAGCTGCTCCAAGCTGCTCCAAGCTGCTCGAAGCGGCTCGAAGCGGCTCGAAGCGGCTCGAAGAGGCTCGAAGAGGCTCGAAGAGGCTCGAAGCCGTAGCCTCGGAGAGGGCACGAGAGAGGGCCGGGACAAACAAAGCACGGACCAGCCAACTGGTTTCCGCGGGGTGGGCGGGGGCGCGGCCGAGGAAGGGCCCGAGCGCCGATGCCTCCGTGCGAAATCCCATTCCTCCCGTTCCTCCTGTCGCGCGTCCTTCCTGCGGCGGTGCAACGTGAATAACCCTTTGTGCCTCTCGCGGTCGATGGTCATTTTTCGGGCGGAAGGCTCGCACGGTCGCTCGCTCGACTTCGGTAACTTCATTGGCTCGAGATAAACTTTCGAGAGCCGTGCTTTCATGATTGATGCCTCTTCGAGGGCGCGGCACTGCGGTCCCGACAGCGAATAATAAATAAGAGTAAGCGCGATGCGAGGATGCCAGCTCGATACGAGGAGCATCGATTGGTTCTTTATTCGAAAATCCGAGCCACTTTCCCACTTGCGGTCACTCGCTATTTTAAGAAAGGTTATAGGAAATCCGAGGAGTCGTCGGTAGCACGTTATTTTATCCTTTTTTTAAGTACGCGGAGCTATTTGCCGAGACAAAGCATATTGGCGGCTCGAGATTCGGCATATCCGGCGGTAAGAAGAGCGGAAAAATGAAAAGATTTCGTCTTTTATTCTTAAGAATAAGAATTGCCGTTTATTCCATTTGACTTTAATGCAGCGAGGAATATTCGGGAACGACGGCTTTTCTGCGTAATTTACGCCTCCAACGAAATTCGCGTATAAAAATGTTCGGCTTTGCTTTTCTCTCGACTTGCATTTATTTTATACTTTGCTACATTCGTTTTCGTCCTTATTCTTAACATTATAGGCATAGGTTAAGGTCAAGTTTCTTAAAAAGAAAAAAGCAGCGAGGGAGAAGGACGAGAGTATGTAAAGAAACAGAGCATAAATTTTTTTTTCTCTTTTCTTCTTTTATTCTTGTTCTTTATTTTTTTTTTTTTTTTTGTTAAGAGAAACACAAGCTTATATAAATATAAATATACCTCTATGTATTCATAAACGAAGGAATAAAGAGTGGTGATTGGGCTTTGAAATTCTTCTTTCGTTATGCTAAACGCAGAATTATTATAATAATTTGCATAGAGCTATTTATATGCTTATTTTACATTCGTAATTTTAATACCAATTCATAACGATGAAAGGAGGTTAATTAACCCAAATAAATAATCCCCGTATGTTATACTACAATGACTCTTTATGTGGCCTACGCTACGCACTATCGTCGATTACTACTGTCGTCTCTATTTTTTCCCTCTTGGCTTTTTAATTCGACCAATCACATTATGCTTGAAGACGATGATTCGTATTTGTGAAGAAACACGAGCAACGAAGAATTTGGTATTTTCCCCTCGTACAATGTTCGATGCGTTTTATAATTGTTTATCAATCAAATGTGATCAAGTTTAAGCTAAGGCTGAGCTCGAAGTAACGCAAAGTCACGAATAATGGAAATTTCTATTCATTCGAAGGCAGAATAATTGCAAGTTCGTTAAGAAATATTTTAGTGATCCCGGCTTAATATATACAAGGTATTAATATATTTATTATTATAATTTGTCCATTGAAATAGTGATTTAAAACGAGTTGCGTCTATTTTTAAATTGAAGACAAAAACGTCACTCTTCAATTCTACTCGAGCCGAGAGGGAGAAGAAAACGTCTCATTATATAGCATTCATTGACCCGAGATTTATTTGCTCAGCTCCTATTGTGTCGACTCGCGAAGTTAAACTCGTTCGAGTCCCAGTCATATGTGTGTGTGTGCGTGCGTGCGTGCACGAATAGTGCACACGTGTATGCGCGTATATATCAGGAAATCTTTACGGCAACCCGAACAATCTCTTTTTCATTAAAATCTATTTATGAGCGGATGGCCCGTTGGTGCGAGGCGACTCCGTAAACGGGTTCGCGCCGCCATTAGAATCGTATTTGCCAGGAGAGACAGAGGCTCGATCTCCTGGTGCGCGCCGGGCATTTAACTCGCCGTCCTCGGGCCAAGGCCCCGGTCAACGGCACCGCGCTTTTCGGCTCTCGCGATTTTGCTCTTTTTGCCTACGCCCAGAAGCGCCATCGACCCTCCCTTTCACCCTCCCTTCGAGCACCGTCATCGCTAACCTCCTCGTTCCCTCCTCAACGCCCCCCCCCCACCGCCATTCAACTATCAGACCCCATTACACCTCACCCGCCGCCACCCTCGCCTTATCCCCACTCCGCAAGTCTTTTTACTCGATATCCCTCGTTCGAGGATCTGTTGCGAGGTGGTCTTGTTGCGTCTTGTTTCCTATTGCCAAAAGGCCCTCTGGAAATCGAAATTATTTTTTATTGACCGATACGGTTTTCGGGGAAAAGGGGAAAAGGCGTGGGGAGGAAATCGGCGTCTTTACGATTTTACGCCACGCTCGAGTGATTTATAAGATGGACGCCCAGAAATCGGGAATACTCGCTAGCTTTTAGTTTTGCCTTCCCTTTCTCTTCAATTGCCTCGCGAGATTTCAGCTGAGCTTGCCCGTAAATTTACTATAGCTTGCGCTCCTTTGCTCTTCTTTTCATTTTAATTAGATACCGAGCATAATGAGTAATAAAATAATTGCAAAATGAGTGACGCAAGCTCTGTATTGGATTTTTACTATCAGCTTTTCTACCTCTTACACGGAACATTGCAGACTCTGAGGAATAATTTGTAAAATCCGTAACGGCAATCCCGTCAATTTTCACGAATATAATACCGTAATATTACCGTATTCTATACCGTAAGTATCTATTTATAGTCAATAAAATAATACCTCAAGAAGATTAAAAAGGAAAATTACATACGAAATAACAAAGTATATTTATTAAATAATTACCTATTAAATCTATGCGATATTTCATCGTCAAATTATATGAGATTTAAAATTACTCTATCTAAAATTACGCGAATTAAGTTAAAAATATTAAATGATGAATAACAAAGTGCATACGAATGTATGTGTAGTAGAATAAGATCTTTATTTTATAAAATTTTTACCTCTTTACAGAATTCATACATTACACTATATTATAGTATATCACTTTACAGTATATTATATTTGCAATATAATATATTGTAATAATAATGTGATATAATGTGATATAAGTGATAATAATCTACACAGAGAAATTTTTAAAACTTAATCGATAATTATGATTGAATTTTATCAAAATCTTAATTTTGTCTTTAATTATCTTTGCGAAAAAGCATAAGTAATATATAAGCAAGAGTTTATATATTATTAACTGTAATCTCAAATCAAAACGTAAAAGGGATTGAATAAAATGTAATTAAAATTTCTAAATTTATAAAATATTTCGCGTATACTAATAATATAATAATAAAATTTAAATAACGTTTATGTTTAAATGAAGGTGTTCAAGAACCAATGGAAATAACGAAATGTTTGTTGCTCTGATCTCAACACTTGGTTATTTTCATTCCTGAATATGGCTTTCATTACCTCGCGCTTCTCATAAACTCTTGCTTCCCTCTCTCTCTCTCACACACACACACACTCTCTCTCTCTCTCTCTCTCTCTCTCTCTCTCTCTCTCTCTCTCTTTCTCGCAAACCTACACGCAAAAAGTATATACGTATATGTGCGTCCGTGCATGCGTGCATAAATATATGTATATAGGTGCACGCGCACGCGTGCACACACAAATGTATATAAACATTCATGCATTTCTCGAGCATAATTCCACCGCACTCTCTTCGCTCTTTTCCACTCTCTTTAATTCCTCCTTTGTTTCTTTCTGGCACTTCTTCTTTGCGGTGCGGCCGGTTCGCGAATTATTACCGGTTTTGCCCTTTGAGGAACATCTGGTGGCTGGCACGCGGACAATGAGAAGAACCGAGCATACCCGCATGAAGCTGTGTATTGAGGAAGCGTAAGAGAGAGAGAGAGAGAGAGAGAGAGAGAGAGAGAGAGAGAAAGAAGTCTCGAGAAAATCTTCCGACGAAGGTTGTCGGGGGTGACGCAGTTCCTTCCTCTTCATCTTCCTTCCTCATTTCTTAG